TCCCTCCCACCCTGACCCACCCCACAGCTCCAGGGGAAACAACAGCTTCCCACTTGCTGTTGCAGCCTGGCGGCCATCCTGCCCCGGGGAGACCGCCCTGCTCGCCACGCTGGGAGCTCACCATAGATCTGGCGCAGAGGAAGCGAGTTGAACAGGTCAATGAAAGGAGCCTTCTTCTCTACATGTGTCTTCCTGTACCACCACCTCAAATACCTGCCGGGAAAGGGAGACATGAGCACAGACATTAGGCCACAACACCACCTCCCTCTCCAGCACCCCTCCAGGGCACCGGGCAAGCCCCGTGGGCTCCCATCCGCTCCTGAAGGGGACAGAATGGCCCCGTGGGAGCCTCCAAGCCTGCAAAGAGAGGAAGAGCCTAGCATGAACCCTGCCCCGGAGATCCTGCTTCGTGCAAAGTGCCACTGCTGGGGACAGTTTTGGGAGGGCTTGTCTTGGGAGAGCCCCTTGCAACCAGGGGTTAAAGTGATGCCCACCCATGGCACAGAGAGCCTGTCCTCTTCAGCGGGACTCAGCTACACCCAATGCACCCCAGCCCCGGGGCAGACAAGGAACAGGTGCGTCAGCCATGCACACAACACAGACCTGCTGGTCTCCCAAGCAGCACGAGGTGTCAGCTGAGGGTTGGTTCAGGCTGAACACGGGGCAAGAGCCCTGCTGCAAAGGGTTGCAGACACAAGCCATGGCCCTAGCGCACCAGACCGAACGAGCGCGAGCCTCTTGCCAGCACCCACTGTGCAAAGGAAGCCAAGCACCGGGCCCAGTGTGGGCTGGGAGGGAACCCAAGTGGGAGGACTCTGGGCTGGTGCCCAGCGAGCATCCAGCTGATGCCCATGCTGTCCCGACCGCGGCAGCCTGTGGCGCAGGTGGGAGGCTCTCCCTCCCCTCAGTACTGCTAGGGCAAGAGGAGAGCAGCCAGAATGAGCCCTCGGAGGTACATCTCAATCACCACCCTGTTCCCAAAAGGCCCTTCGGCGAGGGCACGGTGGGAGAATGAGGCCACACGGACCTCAGCAGAGCCCACAGGCCACAGTACACGCGACAGCTGTACTGTGCAGCCAGCACCGCGCAGCAGCTGACAGCCCGCACCCCTGCTTCGCAGGTTACGAACCAACCATGCTGGGCGCCGCATGCGCAGATATGACGTTGTCCCTGCCCCAACCCAACTCACTCTACTGCAAGGTGACCCAGACCTGCAGGTTACAGGCACTAGGGAGGTGTCACACAGAGCTGCCGAGGGGGTCGCTCCTGCTCTGGTTACTATCTGCACTGGCTACTCAGGTGTTCAGAGGCCAGTCACTGATGCCCTGGGTCCCCAGTGTCAGCACTGAGCACGCCAGCGCAGCGTGATCCACACACGCGCAGCTTAGCCATTCATCAAACCCACGCAGCTGCGCTGGAGCGAGTTGCGCTGCACCAGGACACTCAGCATCCACACGGGGATTCACCCAGTGCAGGCAAAGCCATGCACTGCAGCTCCTCGTGCTCTACTGGACGTGAGAGAAGAGAGCCCTGCTCCTCTCTGGTGCTATGAACGAAGCCAGCCTGTGGCCTGTACAGTCCCGGGGGGTGCCAGTCAGACAACTTCCTACCCAAAGGCCTCTCCAGGTAGACAGAGATGCAAGGACAACGGGGGACAAGACGCAGCATGGCCAGAACAGGGTGCGCCCTTCACAGCCAGAAGGCTGCAGGGCACGGGACCAGCTCTTCCTTCACCCGCGGCATCGAGACAGCAGAATATGCAAGCTGTGCCGCCTCTGTAACAGCCAGCACCGAGCCAGCTTTCAGTTAGCCCTGTGGCGGGTGCAGAGATCCCACCTCAGGAACACA